TCAAAGTTTCAAAGTTTCAAAGTTTCAAAGTTTCAAAGTTTCAAAGTTTAATAACATTTGTATGCCGCCCAATCCCGTAGGACTCCGGGCGGCTAACAATACAAATAAATCAAAAAGAAGGGAAGGAAAGAAAAGATAGATTTAAAAAACACACCATGCACTCCATTCCAAGTGGGGCTGGACCATATTTTGGGGTCAACAGCCCCAGGCCTGCCGGAACAGCCAGGTTTTAGTGGCTTTACAGAAGGCCGAGAGAGTGGGAAGGGTCCGGATCTCTGTGGGGAGATCATTCCACAGGGCCAGGGCAGCTATAGAAAAAGACCTCCCCCGAGTAGTCGCCAACCGGCATTGCCCGGTCGACGGCACCCGAAGGAGGCCCAATCTGTGAGATCTTATAGGTCATTGGGAGGTATGTGGCAGGAGGCGGTCCCGTAGGACTGGACAACCATTTGTCTGAAATGGTGTAGGGCAGGGATGGCTAACTTTTTCCAAACGGAGTGCCCAAAGTGCACAAGCGTGCATGTGAATGCAATGCGTGCCCCCTTGTGCATGCGTCCCACCCCGCCCCTGTGCATGCCCCCGCTCCTCATGCATGCGCAGCAGAGACCCGAAGATCAACTGACCGGAGGGATGCGGATGCATGGCGGAGCTGAACTGGGGTGACAGCTCTGTGTCCACAGAGAGGGCGCTGCGTGCCATCTCTGGCATGCATGCCATTGCTCCCCCCTCATGGGTATAGAGTTTTCTATAGGGCTTCCTGCATCACCAGTGGGTTGGATGAGAAGATCCAAGATCTTTTCCAATTCTGTTAGTCTGTTCTGTTACTTTGGATTTCAAAACTTACAATATCTTCCTCTTGAATCTCCAAGGTGTAGGTAATCACTTCTTCTGGTGTGCAACCTTCTGCTTTATTCCATTGCAGTGTGATCCACGTTACCCCAGCACGGACCAGTCTTGGTGCTGAAGGGGTCTGAGGGATGTTTCCTGAAGTGTAGCATACAACTTCTTGGCTAAAGCCACTGTGGAATGGCGGGGCGGGGGGAGATGGGGAAGAGAGGAAGGATACTCTTTAGTAAAAGTTTGGAATTACACCCTGCGGAACAGCAGTGGGTCTATTATTTAAAGTGCCCCTTCCTTGTTTGCTAGACACGTATCATCATCATCTTCATTTCACGATCGCACGATCACTTGCGGGGTGAAGTCTGGGCAACTGAATGGAGCTAGGGGAGTGTTTACTGGCCGGATGCCGTCCCTGACGCCAGCACAGAGTTTTGTTCAGCAGATATATCCTCATTGTGCCCAGAGAGAGAAATATCTGCCTCCACCTAGGCTCGAACTCACAGCCTCCTGATTGTGAGGTGAGATCTCTACCTCTCGGCCTCCGCACCACTCCTTGCTAGACCTGTATTATGCGCATGCTAAGCCCCATTCTCTCTCTGAAAAAGGAAGAACGTGGTTGCGATTCATAACAGAAGCGTCTCCGTCTTTTAGCCGAGATTACACTATTGATTCTCAGCTACGCTTAACGGATTAAAGAGAGTATGGACAACTCAGAAATCCTTCAATTCTGCATGGGGTGGTTTAACTTTGTATCCTGGTGATCCGGAACAGGCTTATACATCTCAGATCCAAAACATAGACATTACCCCATCTGTTGATCAATAGCTATTTCTAGACTCATATTCTAAATTATTAGATACAAGAGCTGGATATTTTTAATAGCCTTTTTTGTCTGACACTATTTCTGTCAAGATTTTGCTTTATACTATTTAAATACTTCCTGGAAGTTGGATTGGGTTGTGCTTCTCTGTTCCGACAGAGGCTTCCCAAGAGCATGAAACGAACTCCTTCTCCCGGCAAAACCCCCTCTTATTAATTTACAGCGAATTCTGCTCATTCACAGCAGGCAAAGTCTTTCAAAGGAGGATTTACAGTCACAGACCTTATCTGGCTTGGANCATTCGGAGACTGATGGGAAGCCAGTGCAGCTCGCAGAGGATAGGTATAACATGGGTGTACCTGGGTACACCCGATATCGCTCGCGCGTGGGTGACTGTGTTGGTCCCTCTCCCCTGGGTGAGAGCTGGGAGGGAGGAGTGGCTGCCTGCTTGGCAGGTGAGAGCGACTTGCCAGGGTACTGCTGGTGCATTGAGTGGATGTATTATGAGTGTGTTGGGAGATAAGGGGGTGCTGGATGTGATCCCTCTGTGGCAGTGAGGAAGGAGTGGTGCGAGTTTGAAGGCACTGAGAGCAAGTGCTATAGTGCCTATAAGGCTCACCTTGCCCCTGACAGTTTGTCAGTTGGAGGAGGTTTTTCCCCCTTTTTAAGGGTTTTAGTGATGGGGAATAGAATGATTTTCAAGGAAAGCAGAGATGGGTGTTCTATTTCCCTATGGGAGATAGGGAGGTAAAAGGGGGGAGCAGGCACAGGTGGTGCAACCTCAGTGTTTAGTACCAGTCTTGTGTTCTGCCCCCTTGCAATCACCTCATTTACCTGGTCAGCAGATCTGTGGTGGCCCTGGTCTTAGGCTGCTGCTTTTAAATGTCAGATCAGCCTGCAGTAAGGCTAGCCTTATTGCTGATTTCATCCTTGAAGAGAAGGCTGATCTGGTTTGTATAACCAAGACCTGGCTGGGCCCAGAGGGAAGTGTTTTCCTCTTAGAAATGTGCTAAGTGGGCTCTTGAGCGTGGCACCAGTCTAGACCTCAGGGCCGGGAAGGGGTGTGTGGCTGTTGTAATCAGAGAATCTCTAGCAGCCTCCAGGGCCACTGTTCCACAAATGTCCAGCTGTGAGATCCTTTTTCTTAGGTTAAGGGCTTAAGGGATCAGGTGGGATTGCTACTGCTGAACCAGCCTCCCTACTGTGCTTCCCTCCCGAGCTCCTGGACCTCGCCAGGGGGTAGGCGGTGGAATTCCCGAGGCTTATAGTTTTGGGGGACTTTATCCTGCCATCCTTGGGGGGCAGGGTCAGAGGTAGCGCAAGATTTAATGGAAACCATAACTTCCATGGGCCTGCCCCAGGTCATCCAGGGCTCGACTAGGAATAGTGGTCACACACCTGATTTGGTGTTCTTGTCCCAGCAGTGCCTATGACCTGGAATTGGTGGACTTGTCCTTGGTCTCCCTGTCATGGTCAGATCACAGTCTGGTGGCAATGAGTTTCTCAAGAGCTGTACCCCACCCCATCCCCCACCCTGCAGGGAGGTAGGACCTATTAGATTGGTCCGCCCTCTACAACTAATGGGTTCCAGAAGAAGGGTTATAAATGCAGATCTGCTCTGCAGTCCAGCCGAGCTCTTAGTCACTGTTTGGAATAGGAAGGTGACTGAGGCTCTGGGTAGGATTGCACTCATGCGACCTCTCCTCACCCGTAGACCTGGGGTGGGGTATGGTAATCATAACTTTGAGGACAGATTGTATATAGCTCTTTTAAAGTCTGTCATAAGTTCAGACAAGTGCTAAACAACTAGTCCAATAGTTTCACCGACAAATGCACACACGACAAAAGCGCGCCCACAAAACCACGGCGACAAAACCGTGATGTCGAAATCGCACGCACAACAGTGCGCCGACAACAGCGTGCCGACAAAAGCACGCCATCAACAAACAACGCGAAAACAAGGTAATAACCCTAACCCTGAACCTAACCCTAACCCTTACCTTAACCCTAATTGCGCTTTTGTCGGCGCGCTGTTGGCGCGATTTCAACGTCGCGGTTTTCTCGCCGTTTTCTTTGTCATGCGCGCATTTGTCGGGTCATGAGTCCAATCAATACCCCAATCAAGAAACTGCTAAACAAGGTAACCGTAAACAGCTCAAGCAAAGAATTTCCAAAACCACTCCTACCGACACCGAGAGGGCAAGCCACTAGAATATAAATTGAGAGCAAACCTCATTCCTTACTAGCACTGATGATTACCTGGTTTGGGTAATGAAATGTCTGCAAGAAAACAATTGAGTTCCGAGAGTAACCAAGCTCAGAGAGCGTCGAGGACCCCTCATTTCAACCCTGAGCCAAAAATATTCTCCTTTATTAGCCTAGTGATTGTTGAGCTTGTACTACTTGTATTTTGAAAAGATAAAAATTATGCTCTTATTCCTTTTCCTTTGCTAACACACCACCCAGATGTCTTTTATGATTTTTAAATGCGCCAAAGAAAGAAATCCTTGTATTTTAGACATCTTTTATTGTTGCAGCGAAACACATCCCTTAATGAGAAGCCGCTTGTCGTAAATAAATAGAAGGAACAATGTGAAGGCCACTGGTTTCCAGCATGTGATGTAGATTAATGCTTGATGAATTAGATGCAACTGCTTCACTCAACAGATGTGTGATAAAAACATTGGCTAAAAATAGCCTTGTTCTATATGCCATGCTCAAAAGCTTACCCATATTTCGAAATATTTAAAGTCCTTAATTATGTGATATACTGCTGTAAATTACTTTTGTAAGTTATTATAAAGAAGAGGATTGTGGAGGAGAACAGAGCAGAAGGGCAAATCATTATGCATTTAACTTATTTTTGTGTCTTTAATTCGTAAGTTTTATAATGTATTTACAAAAGAAGCGCTTGAAATAACTGAAACAAAAGATTGTGGATGCTTTTACTTATCAAATTTCTAAACCCCTCATGTTAACTTAATGACTCTGGGCAATTTACCATAACAAACAGCTGTGTAAAAATATAAATTAGAAAACAAAATTAAGAACAAAGTTAAAAATTAAGATGTTAAGTTAAAGAGACGGAGGGAGCAGCCTCAATCCACCGACCGTCTCATGGCTGCATAGCACTTGTAGAGCCCCATCTCAATTAGGGTTCGCCGACAAATGTGCGCCTGACAAATGCGCGTCCGACAAAACCGTGCCGACAAAACCGCGCCCACAAAAGCACGCCATTAACAAACAACATAGTGGGACGCGAAAACAACATTATAACCCTAACTCTATATAACGTTGTTTTCGCGTCCCACTATGTTGTTTGTTTTTGTGGGCACGGTTTTGTCGGGCGCGCATTTGTCGGGTCACGCTCAATTAGCAGAGCCAGGTCTTCACACTATTCTGGAAGACTAGCAAACCTCATCTCCAGAACATAGGATGTTCCAAAGATTTCCTTGTTTCTTTTTCTTCTTTTTCGGCTGTCATCATCTTAAATAAATTTGCTCAGTTTTAGTTTTAATCTTGCTCCCATTTAAGGTAATATTTGTATAACAGAGAAATTGCATGGATATTATTTCTATTGTCATCGACACGGCAGTTTTCTTATCTTCTATAAGTTTTTATATGAACCTGCCGGGAGAATTTTAAGTATCTCATCAGTGTATTAATATCAGAGGTGGGTTCCTACCAGTTCGCACCTATTNAAACCGCTTAGAGAGGGCTGAAAGCCCTATGAAGCGGTATATAAGTCTAACTGCTATTGCTATTGCTATTTACTCTTTGAGCATTTTTAATTTGACTGCAATAAATATTTGACTGATTGATTGTATATCATTTTATCCTTTAAAACTAGAAAATGACAGATGGAGAGATCTCAGCAGGAAATACCCCCTTCAGGTTGAACAGCCAAGTGCCAACATTTGGGACTGCTTGTCTAACAAAAGTGATGAAAGCTCCTTATGGCAGAGGGAGCCAGCTAACGCATGCTCAGTAACCAACTTGATCAAGGATCTCAGCCTTAGCGACCACAATGGCAACCCTTCAGCACCTCCCAGCAAACGCCAGTGCCGATCACTCTCTTTTTCCGATGAGATGTCTAGTTGTCGGGCTTCATGGCGGCCCATGGGATCAAAGGTCTGGACTCCTGTAGAAAAGAGACGCTGCTACAGCGGGGGAAGCGTGCAGCGTTACTCCAATGGATTCACAACCATGCAGAGAAGTTCAAGCTTTAGCCTCCCTTCCAGGTCGAGTACTCTTTCCTCATCATATGACCAGATGGGATTTAGCAATAGATTTGGCTGTCCGCCATGCCACGGAATGCGAAAGTCAGCCACGTACGGACAGACAAGTGATATTTGGGGTAATGACCATGGCTCTTCTGAGAGTGGCAGGATTGACATTCAGCGATCTCTCTCTTGTTCCCATGATCAAATTTCCTTTTCGGAATATTGTCTGCCCTCAGCAAACAGCACACCTGCCTCGACACCAGAGTTGACAAGGCGCTCCAATGGGCTTTCTCGAAGTCGGTCTCAACCATGTGTCCTTAATGACAAGAAAGTTGGAATTAAGCGAAGACGACCTGAAGAGATAAAGGAACAAAGACCTTCATTGGACCTTGTCAAGATGACACAGGTAAGACTTGATTATTTCACACTGGGAATAGCATGGTNTGTCTTTTTAAAAGCAATTTTTTTAAAAAACCTTTTAGCCTACCCTTTTAGTCTAACTACAGACATTATTTGCTGATTTCTGAACTAATTGGAAGGTTTGGCATTTTATAGAGCAAACCACAATAAATGTATTTCAGATTAAGTTTTCATGTATTTTGTTGATCTCATGTATTTTCTTTGCAGGCTTTTCTCCTAATAAATATTCATAATAGATACACACACATCACTAAGAACAGAATTTCCTCTTATTAAAACCTTCATCACTCAAGTCTTTGAAACTGAATCCACCCTATGTACACCCCCATGTCATTCTGCTTAAATAGTCCTTTCATTCATCCAAATTGTTAGGATACTGAGCTGCTTTAGAGCACAATTAAATTTGCACTCTAACGCTTTGAGATTGATTGTAAGCCTTAATAACGTAGAGGTTTAAAAAAATGTTCTCAGTGCTGTAATCCCCAGTATTTTTGCTTCATGCTGAATAAGATATTAAATGGCCATTCAGATATGGCTAAAACTATATTTCATGCGTAAGCAGTTTCAGTTCCAATCTTCTGATTTCCTTTGTCTCTTAGAAGAGAGAACAAAGTAGAAGAAACAAGCCACCACTCCTGATAATAGTACAGAATCTGTTGCTTTTCTCTGCCGCTATTCTCATGGTTTGTTTCTTAACAAAGCTACCGTCAGCTGAATTTAAGTCAGAACTTTAATAACCGTCAACCACAGCAGATGTAGGTGAGATGTTGAAATGAATCAGTAGCTCATGGTAGCTTACAATGGAGGTATAATTCTAGATGGTTTCATTTTTAACCAAAAGTCGGGGGAGGGAGGAGTCCACATATTCGGGATTTTCCTGCTCTCTGACCAGTGGTGGGTTTCAAAAATTGTTCGAACCTACTCTGTGGGTGTGGCCTCCTTTGGTGTGGCCTCCTTTGTGGGAGTGGCTTGCCGCCCATGTGACCGGATATGAAGATGCCGACGACACTTGTCAGAACCGCCTTAAATTACCTCACACACAGCACTGGCATGCNTATCCGGTCACATGGGTGGCATGCCACTCCCATCCGGTCACATGGGCAGCAAGCCACTCCCACAAAGAAGAGTAGGTTCGAACAATTTTTGAAACCCACCACTGATTAATATCTATATTTACGTTAGTTGACTAATGTTGGTGCTCAGTTTAAATAAAACAGGTATTCCATTGGTAATAAGTTGTTTTTAATTGGCGGCTCAGTCCATGGTAGATATGGCTGCATAGCACTTGTGCCCAGGTTCAGCTTATATACCAGTTATCCTCCTTTCTTGAGAAGCTAGATCTAGTATTAGTTGTCCATGCTTTCATATATAATTGCTGCAACTCACCCTCGAAGCATGCTTAGAACTTGGGTTAGTGCAAAATGCAATCATTGGTTTGCTTTTTAGTTCTTGCTTTGTTGTATCATAAGCTTATCTTGTCTTCGTTTTACAGGCTAACAGTTGTTTTCACACAGTTCAAAGTACTGTTTTCCTTTATCTTATACGCTTGTACTTTGTAAAAATATCCTTGCTTTCTAAAGTTGACGAAACATGTGTATATTCAGAAATAAAATCAATGCAATTCAGTAGTGAAGTTATGCCAGTTTATTGTACAGAGGGATGACTTAAAAAGAAAACATAGAATTAAACAAATGAAAAAAAACCTCTTTTCCTCTCTGTTGGCAGAGCTTGGGATGGTTCAGAGACTGCATTATCAAAGCTTTCCATTCTGTGGGTAGAATGGCCTTGTTCAAGCTTTAACTTGTAAACCATCTTCCAGGTACCTACTGGGTTGAAAGGTGACTCAGAAATTATTTTGTGAACAAATACGATATAAATAAGGCTCCAGGATCCTGTTATTATTGGCTATAGCTAGTATGAGATTTTTGCTTATCATTTAAAGAGGAAGATGGAGGGTCGGATGTAAGCAGGATGAACTAGTTTAAATCAACATAACTAATGAATTAAATAAAATACCAAAGGAGAAGGCCAACTAAAATAATGAATTACATTCTAGTTTCCCATATTGAAGGGAGATATTAGTATATTTTAACAATTTAAATATAATTATGTTTTGTAGTATTATAAACATTTTATAGTTTTTATAGGTGACATGCAATTTTAATTGTTGAACGCTATAAGTAGTCCTTGATATACCACAATTAGAACCACAAACTCCAGTCACTAAAGAATGCATTGAATCATGGCCAATTTTACAGTTTTATTTGCTGGGGTCATTATGTGAACGACGTGATCGTTAAGCAAATCCACCCTCTTCCCCCCCCCCCTTTGACTTTGTTGGAATCCCCTTGGGAATGTCGCAAATGGNGGTATATAAGTCTAACTGCTATTGCTATTGCTATTCCTTAGGCCAGTCACTTTCTCAGCCCTACGAAGGCAACAGCAAACCACTTTTAATAATAATTTACTGTCATAATTTTCCACTGTCAAATAGCCTGAATAAACACACCCAAATTTAGTAGTTTAATGAGTAACATACAGTCTAGGCTGAAATGGAACTGCCATGCTACCTATTATATTTCCCTCCACAGAGGTTTGTGAAAGAAAGCGAAGTATTATTGTTTGTAACCACTTAGTGATAACATATATGCCTAGGCCTGGATTTACATTCACTCTTCATAATTACCTAATATTGAATCCTGCATGTGCACAGCTGAGAGCCAACTTGGAAACTGGTTTGTGTGCAAGAAAAATATGCTTGGGATGCCACAGCAAAGATCTCGTGTTTTCATTTGCAGGCAATTCTGCCAGGTTCCTTGTGATTGTGGTGAAGGAGGGGGGAGTAGGCACTCAGTTTAAAATTTCACTAGGATTTTAGTTCCTGTGGGAATTTGGATAGGCAGTTAGGCATGGACACACACACACACTCACACTCTTGAGAGAGAGGGGGGGGGAATGAACATTGTGGCCCTTAATGCTGTCACTTCTTTGAAAGGAATTTCGTTGGTGACTTTGGAGTGATTTGTGCAAATATACAGCTTCTGGAGGGACTGCCTCTCCTGCTGCCCCCCTACGGAGCAATTGAAAAGGAGGCTGCTCCATCCTTTGAAGGCTGAAAAGCTTTCAGTTTAAAAAATATATGTGTGAGAAACGTTGCATTCAGGCAAGTTTAGGTATTCAAAACCTCCAGCGCATATAGCACTTTTTAGCATTTGAGGAACAGTAAGTGGGGTTTTTGTCTCATTGTTCGTGCAGCAGCACAACAGCTGCCTATGGAGCTTCCTTTCCCTCGTTTTTGTTTTTTTTTAGTCTTGTTTTAATCCCAGACATCAATCAAACCACAACCCTCAAAAGGGTCACAGAAGCACAATTGGTTCTAGCATTGAACTTGACATGCTTCTCTCTGATTGGGGAAGGCGGGAGATAGATTTGTATAATAGAATCACATTAATTTCTCCCCTTAGTTGGATGAATGAGGTTGGTGAATAGTACTGCGGAGACTTTGAAGGGAACTGTTAAATATCTATAGTAAATGACTTAATTTAACTACCTGCATGGATTTAATTGCCTGGGCAAGAAAGCATCAAAACCACTCTAGTTCATTGTATGGATGCCATAAATCCATGGTCCTTGTTGGTCCAGTAGGATGTGAGCAATGCAGTATCAAATACCAGCCAGGTAAGTCATGTCAGAGTTGTCAGCTGTCTTGAGAAAGGTTCAGAGCTACAGTGAGCAACGTAGATACGGTTCAAGTGTTATGCTATTATGGTAAGTGTAAAAAGAAAGGATGTGCAGATGTGAAAAGGATGTTCATTTATCATACTAAGCCTTGGCTTATTGGACCGCAGGTCATAGATACGTCAGAAAGAAACCACATTCAGACTTTGCCTTACTTGTGGAAGTAACCACAGAGGCAATAACTTCCAAACCAGTTTTATCAACTACTTATGACCTGAGAAGGAGAGGATTTTCTTTCCTGCTCTATTGTATAGAAGTTCATTGCTACGATATTCTGTTACAGTATGAATTTTCTGCACCATAGCAATAGCAATAGCAGTTAGATTTATATACCGCTTCATAGGGCTTTCAGCCCTCTCTAAGCGGTTTACAGAGTCAGCATATTGCCCCCAANAAACCCCAGGGGTGTTCAAACTTGACAGCTTTAAGACTTGTGGACTTCAACTCCCAGAATTCCTCCTCTCGCTCTTCATCTTGATGATGTGCGGACGGGCAGGGGGAGGGAGCTGGAACCGGTTCTAAATGGCACTGTAGATTTGTGGAAGAGGTTAGAACTGGCAGGAACCTACGCCTGATTAAACTGCTTTGGAATTCATGCCTGAAAATGTGTGAAATGTAATATGCTAATCTACTTTTATTAGCCAATAAATTAGATAAGTAGTTAAAAATTATACTTTATACATTATACTTTATATATTATTATACTTTAGGAGTCCCAAGTTGAAATTCTACTACTTGGATTTCCCAGAAGTTTTTTAGTCTCTTGTACTTGCAGAAATCTTTAAAAATATATAGTTCTTTGTGTCTATATCTAGGAATATTTGAGTATTAAGGAAGGAAGCCAGAAAAGGAATTTCTAAATGAAGCATTTTTTGTATTACTTAATTTTTTTTAATCAGCAGGGCTTTAAATATATCTTGCATACATTCAGGAGAGCATTGGGGACTTTCAATTGCTTTATTGGGATAAAAAGATTAAGGGCAACTGTAGTGAAAAGGTGTGCCTTTGGAGTTGCTCTGGAATAGGAAAATGTACAACAAAACCCATGTATTACCAAAGAAGAATAAAGGTAGGACAGTGATAAACTTGGATCTGCTGTTATATATTTACCCCCAAGAAGATTGCTAGAACCATAAGGTAAATATTAGGGTATAAATCTAATCTGCAAATTGAACTTCGATCCCAATGAAATAAGCGAGATAATTTAAACGGTGTCGGTATCAAAGGAAGAACAGCGCTTTTAAAAAA